TCAACCAGTCCGAGCGAATGAGAGGCACTTGTATAGCATCCCTAAAAAACCTGTTCCGTTCGACACGTTGCATGTAGATCATTTCGGGCCGTTACCGTCACTAAAATCTAAGAGGAAGCACATTCTGGTTGTAATTGATAGCTTCACTAAGTTTGTGAAGTTATACCCGACGAATTCGACGAGTACGCGGGAAGAAACCGCCGCCCTAGGGAAATACTTCAGTTACTATAGTAGACCGAGGCGTATTATATCTGATAGAGGATCCTGCTTCACANTAATTGATAGCTTCACTAAGTTTGTGAAGTTATACCCGACGAATTCGACGAGTACGCGGGAAGTAACCGCCGCCCTAGGGAAATACTTCAGTTACTATAGTAGACCGAGGCGCATTATATCTGATAGAGGATCCTGCTTCACCTCTTTAGAATTTGGGGAATTTCTACTTAAGCGGAATATTATACATGTAAAGGTTGCAGTGGCTTCCCCGCAAGCTAACGGACAGGTAGAGAGGGTTAATCGGGTCATTAAAACCATGTTAGGCAAGTTGAGCGACCCTATCGATCATGCTGACTGGTAAAATAGGCTCCTGCAAATAGAATACGCATTANTAAAGGTTGCAGTGGCTTCCCCGCAAGCTAACGGACAGGTAGAGAGGGTTGATCGGGTCATTAAAACCATGTTAGGCAAGTTGAGCGATCCTATCGATCATGCTGACTGGTAAAATAGGCTCCTGCAAATAGAATACGCATTGAATAATTCGGTTCACGGTACCACAAAAAAATCGCCCAGTATGCTTCTTTTCGGGGTAGAACAAAAAAGAAATAGTAGACAAATTTACGGAATACGTTGAGGATAAGCTTGGCGCACGGGAAGAGCGTGATCTGCAAACTATCCGGCGCGATGCCGCTGATGCAATCCAAAGCTCCCAAGAACGTAGTCAAGAATATTCTCTAAGACATTGCGTGAGAGCTAAGAAGTACAATGTCGGTGACTTCGTCGTAATAAGAAATGTAGACACTACCGCTGGCACTAACAAAAAACTCATCCCTAAATACAAGGGACCCTACGTCGTGGACAAAATCCTCGGGAATGATAGATACGTTGTTAAGGACGTAGAAAATTGCCAGTTAACTCAAATCCCATATGACGGTGTGGTTGAGGCCAATAGAATGCGTAGGTGGCTTGAGAAAAATATGGAGGCTGGACCTGTCGAAGAGCAAAGCAATACCCTAACCTAA